TTTGCATATTCACGACCAGCATTTTTGCAACAAAAAAGGCGCCAACAATTGAAGAAATCGAACGTTATTTTCTAAAAATTGCTTTTTTTCGTGTAAAACGTATAAAAAAGGACTTACCGAACGTAACATTGTGAGCCGCCATGTTGAAAATCCATAGGAGGCACTCTCGCGGTAATTTTAACATAACAGTGAGAGGAGTAGGCCAAAAACCACCAAAAATGCAGTAATTTCACATAATCAATTATAGTCTATAACTATTTATTGAAATGGTTAAAACGATCCGGGTAAACAACTTCAAATACATAAAAAAAATGAGAATTCCAGTATCAAGTTGGGAATGAGGCTGGTGGGTCAATTGAGGTCATAGAATGCTGATAGCGTGTATGCTAGTTTTTCTTTCAATTTGAAATTGCGCCCTCATGCGGAGATAAAGTGTATATTGGATGGTACAAAACGCATTGAACTCTGGGATATCACATTTACTGCGTCTTGCAACAAATAAATAGATAAACAATATTCATCATGATATTATCAAAACTCAGACTGAGTCGCGGAAATTATACTGCAGTGACCTCACAGTGAAATTGGCGGCATTAATTGATCTCGTTTGCAGAGAGAAACTAACTGTAAATAAACTACAAATATACAGAAACATGTCATCTACTGACCTTGAGATTATGAATGTCCATTATAAGAGCAAAGTTCGTTAAATGGTAACAGTTACAGACTGTGTGAGTGAGATTAGTACTTTGAATTACGCAACCCTCACTACTCCATTGCTCGGACAGCGTGCTATCAAAATATAATATTAATTATATCAATTTATAAAACAAAACACGAATTGTATTATTTAATTTCGGCTCACCCTATTTAACTATCAATGACGTATTATTTAACATGAATACTCCATTATCGACAAACGATTCCGAATATATCTTGTTCTGTTACTGACGACATACTCCATCATAAAATTAAAAAAAAAAATCAAGCTCATGAAAAATATTGGTGATGTTAAAATGAATAAAAAAAATAAAGTTAAATTTGAACAAAACAAAAAATATCTCAAATGATTTATCATATACAGTGTGCAAAGTAAATATCGTTACATGCAAGATCATGAAAATCAAAACCAGTTCAGCGTCTATGGCTGTTATTACACGGCGGAGACATAAACTCCTCTCCGCAATTGTTTCTCAAATACGTGATTGTGTTTCCATAGACCCTAGAATATCTCACTAACAAACCTAAGATAATAGAAAACAATGTGAGTGAAGTTAGATGCGTGTGCTAACTTTCCCTCTTTGGCCAGGGGCGTCGATCCATTCTGAAAAGTGAGGGGGACACTTTTGTGTCCGTGTAAACGGCCAATGTCCGCGCTTGCGCGAACAGGGGGGGGGGGGTGTCTGAGAAGGGGGACCGCCCTATGCTCCGACATCTCTATGTTCCGACACCACTATGTTCCGACACACAGTATACTTTGGTCAAACTTAATCTGACTAGCCGTGCGTGACCTTTTACTACCTTGATATAATCAGGATGTCCTGTGGGTTAATACTGGAAACCCAACTGTAGTGTAGTCCGGCCATGATGCTCGAAAGTCCGTGAAGGCGGGATCTTGCATAATGTTATCGGATAATTATCAGAGAATTATCAAACAATGTTGCACATTGTATCATTCTAATACTTCGACAATTATTTGACAATATCCGTGTCTGTTGGATGTGGCTCCAGCCTTAAATCCTCCGATTGCCTAACTATCGAAGTTTTAGATCGATAATTATCGGAGAATTATTTTACCTTTTTTATGAAAGTTGTACTTCGATATTCATCAGTCGCGGAATTGCAAGGTTGCCGTTTACATCCGGTAGCACCTTTCCAAGTTTATCTACATATTAATTAAAATCATTTATTTATTTATTATGCGAGAGATGAATAGGCACTGCATTTAGCATTCCGTAGTGTTTGCATAAGTTTTTGAGATTGCCAAAAAAT